TTCCCCTTAGAGCTAGACTCTCTTCTCCAGCCCTCCATGGCAGCTCCCTGCTCCCTCCTTGAAGCTCCTGCCCCCTTCCCCTGTCTCCTCCGCCCAGCAGCTAGAGGAATCTTTTGATTCCTCTAGTGATCACATTACTGCCTCCTTAGTTCCCTCCGTGGCTTTTCCTGGTTCTGAGGAGAAAATTCAAGCTTTCTTTTCTTTGTTTTTAAAATATATTTTTATTGATTTTTACAGAGAGGAGGAGAAAGGGATAGAGAGTTAGAAACATCAATGAGAGAGAATCATCGATCTCTTGCACACTCCCTACTGGGGATGTGCCTGCAACCAAGGTACATGCCTTTGACTGGAATCGAACCCGGGACCTTTCAGTCCGCAGGTTGACGCTCTATCCACTGAGTCAAACCAATTTTGGCAATTCAAGCTTTCTTGATCTGCAGGGCTTGGCCCACCTCTCCCACCTCTTCTTAGGTCCCCATCCCTCTCTGCCTCTTTCGTGCCTCCAACCTGCTCTCCTCCTGCAGAGCGTTTGCACGTTTGTTCCGTCTGACTATAATGTTCTTCCCCGACTTCTTTAACTAGTTAATTCTTCCTCACTTCAGATCTAAGTGTAAGCCTTCAGAGCAGCCTTCCTAGACTCTTAAAATCTACTGGGTTCCTTTGATATAAGCTCCCCGCCTTCAGCCACCTCGCCACGGTGTGTGTGATGCATTCATTGTAAGGACCGGATCCCCCACTGCACTGGGAGCTATATGAGGTCAGGGGCAGTCTGTCGTGTTCCCCAGCATCCAGCACACTGTCCTTGGCAGAGAGTGGGTAATTAATCAATGCATTGAACGACTCCTGTCCCTCGCAGGATATGACAAATGCTCATGGCTACTGCCTCCTAGCCAGCAGGGGAGGGAGACACAGCAGAGGGTTGTGATTCCCCTGTACAGCTGAGAAGACGGAAGGGCAGAGAATTCAGGCAAACCTCCATGCCCCTCCGGGCAGTTAGTGGGCAAGCTGGGACTTGAGCGAAGGCAGCTGCATGCGACAACCTTGAGTTTGACATGCTTGCCATGAAGCAAGTTTAGGAGCAGGCCATGTGTGACAGGTAGTTGTGCTGGCTGGGCAGGGTGGCACTGTGTGGCATTTCTCTCTGGGTGGTTCTCCCTGCTGTAACTTAGGACAGTTGAACAAGGTGAGTTTCAGAGGCTCCGAGATGTTTTGTTCTTGTGGATTGTCTCCATCTGTGTCCCTGCGACCAGAGTTTGGGCATCCTAGAGAGGGTGGGGCAGTGTGTGAGATACCTGTGTCTGCAGGTCTCCTCTACTCCCATCCTCAGATCTTGTATCAGGAAGCTTGTTTAAACATTCCATTTTCCCCTGCAAGAAGAGAAGGCCAATAAGGGAGAGAACCGTGTCTTTTCTTCCCAGGGTTTATGAAGTAGGCAATGAAAAACGCTTGTGTTGACCTAACCTGTGTTTCCATCTTCCTCTTTCTGGTTTCTTTGAAGAACTTCTCCCCTCTCCATGCAGTCCGGGGGTAGGTATTGACTCTGTTCTGGTCAGTCAGGTAGAGCTGCCTGGGTTCTGAGTGGAGGAGGATTCTGAGGCTGCTACTAGGTTCAGCAGCAAATTCCATGGCTGGTGAACGACGTCTGCCATGAGTAGGAGAGGAGTGAGTGTCCACGTATTTGCTATCCTTATGGTAGAAACAAATAAACATTCATTGAATGAATGAATTCTGAATTCCATGACCTTCTGTTTCAATTAGGCATCTCTCTTTCCCCAAGAGAGACTGTCCCTGGTGAGATGTCCTGGCACTTGGCCCTGGGAAACTACGTATGTAAAAGTCTAATGTGTAAAGTGTCCCCTCGGGAGTTCAACTGGGAGAACAGGAGTTTGCTCGCTCACTGACATGTGCTGACCACAAGGGAGCAGCACAGAATATGGCAGGTGACCAGCGGTGGTGGTGGAGCACTGAGGGAGTGAGGGAAAGAGGAGGTGAAGAACCTGATTGGACCCCCCCCCCCCCCAATGCACAAATTAATTTCATGCACTGGGCCTCTAGTATCAGAATAATAGAACATCAGAATCAATATCAGAACCATTTTCCAGGGATATATGATATGCCTTTTTTAATGAATTATTTCATTGGATTTTCACAAGTTTCACGAGGGGAGGATTATAATATCCATTTTATGCTGAGGAAACTGTGGCCCCACAAGGGGAGGGATCTATGCAAACCTTCACGGCATGTCGGAGGCAGAGCCCATCGCCACATGGCTTCCCCATGTCTCCACTCCTCCATGCGTAAGACCAGTGATGGGCTTTGTTATTCCTCCAAACCCAGTGTAGCAACTGGAGCAGCACGACTCAGTTATTCATTTACCGAAGAGAGAGGAAATCAACAGTTGAGCAATCCTTGGAAAACCCTCTGGAAAGTCCCTGTGTGATGAATCCAGTCCAATCCAACATGTAAGCCCGGGTATTTGGAGGCTGACTTCACAACCATTGGCCCCTAACGTAACGCTGTTTTACGTGTTGTCGTGTTGATTCTACTGGGTAGCAGATGCAGGGCAAAGCGTCTTACATTCATTAACTTACTTAATCCCCACCATAGTCCTGTGAGGAAGTAAATAGTATTCTCTCTGTTTTAGGATGAATCTGAGGTTCCAAAAGGTGAACCTCCTTGAGGTCAGACACAGTATGAGGGTGTATGCATGTGTGTGTGTGTACGTTTTGTGGTGCATGTGAAGTTGTATTGTGTCAGTAGGGAGCATTTTTGGAAGAACAGGCATGGGGAAAAAGGTGCAAAGCATGTTGAGAGGCCCAAGAGGTGGACTCCAGTGACCATGTATTTATACGCCATTTCAGACCCTCCATTCCCACCCTTCTAATGCAGTCTATTTCCTTCTAGGTGACTGGCTAGTCCTGCTATGTTCAGCGTTCAGGGATCTTGGGCACACGATTAGAATCTTTCCTGTAAGTGTCTGAATCGAGCAAGCAGTAACACAAGGCTTGAGAGTCATTCAGGTAGTACAGGAAGGGGGTTAATTGATAACACCATTTCTGGAAATGGATGGCCTTGTCCCAGTTCCAGACTCCACAGTTTACCAGCTGTCTGACATGGGGCAAGCTGCATAAGGTCTCTGTGCCTCCGTTCCTTCATCTTTAACATGAGGACAATAGTGGGGTTTGTCTCATAACGGATACCCACTTAGAGAAGTACCTGACGTGTAGGAAGCTCTACTTTGGTGTGTGTGTGTCTGTCTGGATGTGATGCCATCAGTCATCGAGGGTTTAACGCTCATTTCTGCTGTGAGACCCCTGGAGCATCTTGCCTGTTTTCCAGAGGGCAGCTCCCGCCTTCTCACTGATGCTGTGAGCACCTGATACCCAGCTAACCCATTGTTGATCTACCTAGCTATCTCAGTTACTCTCTGTTTCCTGAAAACCAGAATACTAGCTGTCGTGTCAGTTCTGTGTCAGTGCAAAGCTGGGACTCTAGAACCTCCAACTTCCAATCCCCTCCCCAACCCCCCAGCTCTCAGTGGAATTCTGCACCTGCCATCCATCAGCAAGTCTGTTTCCTCCCAACTCATGTCTGGAGTCCTGATACCAAAACCACCCAGACTGGCTCCTGCCGGCTGGAGAGGGCTTATGTGATTACTTAGTGAGTGCTAGTGAGGGATCTTGTGGGCTGCCGGGCACAGTAGAACTACTAGGGATTATTAGTCCCAAATTAACAGCCAGCAAATGGAGGTCCAGGAATACGAAGGGACTTGCTGAAAGTTACATGGCCAGACCGGCTGGCTCCCAGCTCAGGCTCTCTGTGCTAAAAGACTGAGTAACCTCTGCGGAGTGAGGGATGAGCTTCGAATGAGGCTTGGGTTTTGAATTTCAAGCCTTACCACTGCACTCATCCATTTCCCGTTCTTTGCTTTCGCCCCATTTCTTTAAGCTTAATAATCCCTCAGGGCCGTGGCACATGCTGTTTCTTCTGCCCAGAAGTCTGTTTCTCCCCACACCCCTTTTCCTCCACTCTTCACCCAATTCCTTCCCTTCTTTCGGGTCTAGGACTCTCTGTCCCTCTGAGACCACCAGCTCTAATGTGATCCCCTTACGGTTCCCAATGCCATCATTTGTCTGTTTCCTCAGCTACCACCTTAAGTTGTGTGTGTGTGTGTGTGTGTGTGTGTGTGTTTCCCTTCCTGTTTATCTGTTTCTTGCCTATCGTCCCCACTAGGTTGTACATTACCTGAGGGCAGAGACTCTGACTTGTTCTGGCTCCGTGCTTGGCGCAATGTTTGACGCGTCCTAGTCATCCAGCCAGAAATCATCTGTCTTCTGCTCTCCCTCAAAGCTGAGGAGCAACGGCTTGGCCAAGGTCACAAAGGCAGTCATTACCTGGGAGACACACGATGCTTACCCCACTCCACCAAATCTAAGAGGCAGGGGTCATCGTTATCACCACCTATCATCAGCCCCATTTTACAGATGAAGAAACTGAGGCTCAAGACAGTTCTTGATTTGCCTGAGTCCCTGCACTGAAAAGTGGACGGCGAGCGGGCTGGGGACCGGGTCTGATCCTGAAGCCGGTAGCTCGGCCCCTGCTCAGCTCTGCCAGTGGGTGGATGTGGGCAGCGGAGTGGCGGCCGGCAGGGGGCGGAGGCGGAGGTGGGGAGCGGCGGGAAGAGGAGGGGTGGTGGGGCGCGGCTGCTGGGGCGGTGAGCTCCCCTTGGCAGCCGGCGGGGCCGGAGCCGGAGCGGGGCGCCTGGTTCTCATCAGAGCAAGGCGGGCGGGGCGGGGGGCCAGGCGCCGGCACAAAAGGCCGCCGTCGCGCCGCCGGGACCCACGAGGGGAGCCGCGCTCCGACCTGGGCGGGACCTCCGCAGCCCCCGCCCCGCCCCGCACCGCGGCCGCCTCTCCTGGTGGCGGGGCTGCACGGCTGGTCTCTCCCCTTCTCTGGTCCCGGCTTCACCCATCTCTCCGGCACCTCCTCTCCGGGATGAGGCTGGGACTGGCGCCCCGGGCCAGCCCGCTCCAGTGCTAGGCGGGGGGCCGGTCTGCACCCGACAGACGGACCCGCGGACGTTGGACGGACCCGGCGCCCAGGAGAGAAGTCGCCCCCGCCTGTCACCATGGTAACGCCTGCCCAAGTCTGGACCACCTCCCTCTGTCTTCTTTTGGCGGGGTCCTCGCAGACCCCAACCTTTTATGCTCAGAGGGACCCTTAGGGCCCCACCAGGACTCTGCTTACCTGCCCCACCAGCAGGGGTAGTGGGAGGTGCGGGGGTGGGGTGGATTGCAGAAACCCATCCCTAAGCGACGCCTCCTTCGGCATTCTGGGCCTCTGGCTCTCCATGGGCAAAGTGGAGGAGTAAGAAGGGATGAGTTGTAAACTTTGATATTGCCGGCCCAAGTCAGAGCTGCCATCCCGGCTCGTGGGCCTTGGACCCAACGAGGGGTGGTGGTGCATTTCAGACGTGGGGCTGAGCGTCAGGTATGCCCATTGTCCCAACACAGTTTTGGGGGGGTGGGGGATTAAAGGCCCTCGGAGCCCAGTCAGGCAGTGCAGGGCAAGGAGAGTTCAGGGTGAGGAACGGAGAGGAGAAAGTTGCCACCAAAACTTGGGGTGGTTTTGCTATTTGAGACTCAGGGCAGGAAAGCCAGCTGTGAGCATTGCCCTGATGGAGGTGCTCCCCTGGGGACTTGGGGGGAGGGCAGTGACTTCCTGGGCTGGCACCTCAAGGTTGGGACAGGCGTGTGCATGCCTGCATGTGTGTGTGTGTGTGTGTGTGTGTGTGTGTGTGTGTGTGTTTGAGCAGAGAATGAAAGAAAAGTCTGTTTTCAGAGAATCCTAGCCCAGCTCCAGACAGGCCCAGGAGCCCGGGGCAGATTCACACAGATCGAAGAGGTGGTGGGATTTGGAAAAGGGCTGTGAACACAGGCCAGGGCTTTAACCCCTTGACTGTGAACTACTGTGTTGAGTGTGTGTGGGTTTTCACTGTGTGCACGTCCACACACACACGTACACACACGTATACATACACACCAAAACATGCTCCCGCTGACCCACACAGTTGAACACATGTGCTCTCTCATATGTACAAGCCTTGTCCTCCTGCTCTCTCATACTGCTAAAATAGGGGCACACACCTGCGTACACGCCATAGACATATTGCAAAAGCAGGCGCCTCAATCCATATACCCACAGGGCAGAGATATGCGTACATTGCCGTTGGAGCTGTTTGACAATAATCATAAGCTAATGTTATCCGCCTCTCACCACAGACAAGGCCCTGCGCTGGGCACTGTACATGCAGGAGCTCCTGTAACTCACACCGACCCTAAGAGTAAACCTGCTGGTGTCGCTACTCCACACAGATGGAGGCCTGGGGATCGGAGAGCTTAGGTGGCTGCACAGGGTCACCCTGCCAAGAAGTCAGAAGTGAGACAGCATGAATTCTGAACCCGAACTCAGCTGTCACGGCCGCCCCAGAGCCACCGGCACCAAGTGGTGTTTGCCAAACCTCACCTGGTTTTGGACCTAACTTAGTTACTATGTTTAGAACCCAGAAACTCCTTGCTGAACTCCAGATCCTAAGATCAAGGGTCAGGCACTGGGTGGTCCTCTCAGAGAATGAGCAACATTTTTTTCTGAATGGGAATGGTGGACAGGTTTCCCGCCCATGCTGTCTTTAAGGGTTAAAGGTTGTCACCTGCCCACCTCTCTGGCCTCACCTCTGTTCTCCAGACACTCTGACCTTGGTTTCATGTTCCCTGCAGCCACAGTGCCTTTGTACATGCTGTTCTGCTGGGTGGAACTCCTACCCTTAATGACTCCGCCCAAATGTCACCTCCTCAGGAAAGCCTGTCCTGATTTTCCTGTCTCTCACTGCATAGCTCTCCTTCGTGGTACTTGTCACAGTTGTGATTGCTGTGGGATGATTTGATCAATGGCTATCTAATGTTCTCGGACAGCCCAGTGTCAGAGCATCTTAGGACAAAGGGGCTTAGGGTTGATTCAGTCCAAAATGTCTGTACTTTTAGTGTCATCAGAACTATTTTTTGCATATCCACCGACTGGATATAGCAAATAATAAAATCTACTACTTACCATTTGCTCAATATTTTTACTTAGGTAAATTTACTTTCGAAACTAAAAAATATATTTAAAAAGGAAATTTTATGTCATCACCGTGAAAAATCAGGATCCCTTGTAATAAATAGAAAGTAATTGGAGGGGGAAAAATATGACCAAAGCAAATCCATGTTAGAAAATCCTGGCTGGATAAGGTTGACAGTAGACGACTCCAAGCCCCAGGACTGCTTTCCTGTTGTTGAAAGGAGAGTCACTAAGAGCTGAGAGGTGTGTGCGCTGTGCTGGCACCGACCTGGGCTTTCTCTTCGGTGTCATCAAGGGGACCAGAAGGGAACTGGAGTAACCTGTTTATTGTGATTTCATGTTGAGCTCCTTCCTGTCCTCCCCAAATCATCTTGCAGGCCCCCTGTGATCCTATCTCACACTTTGAGAAAAACTGCTTGAGTCAATTCCAGTTCAGTCCCCCAGCACCGACTGTGTGCCTGCCAGGCCCAGTAGAATTCTCAGTGAGTAAGCCCCAGACAGGCCCTCTCACTGAGAACTCCAGGCTGCATGACAGGCAGCATGAGTCCATCCCTTTGCCTGGAAGCACCTGGGTCGTGAGAAGAGATGGAGGTGGAGCGGGGCTCGGCTGTGTGGGAGGGAGCTCGCCCCGGCCAGCAGGGGGTGCCATTCTTCCCTAAGTGAGGCACCCTGGTCCTTGGAGGGACGACGTTACGTTATTATTTACTTTTTTTCATGCTCTTTGTTTTAATTTTATTTTTCAATTACAGTTTATGTTCAGAATCATTTTGTATTCGTTTCAGGTGTACAGCATAGTGGTTAGACAATCGCATACTTTACCAATTGTTCCCTCTCATATTTCCAGTCCCCACCTGGCACCATACACAGTTATTACAATATTATTGACTATATGACCCTGTGCTGTACTTGACATCCCATGGCTATTTTATAACGATCAATCTCTACTTCTCAATCCCTTCGCCTTTTTCGCCTAGCCTCCCAACCCCCATCCCATCTGGAAGCCATCGGTTTGTTCTCTGTGTATGTGAATCTGTTCCTGTTTTGTTTGTCCATTATTTTGTTCTTTAGTGAAGAACCGTTTCGTTTGTTCTTAAGTGGAGTCGTATGCTGTTTGGCTTTCTCTGTCTGACTTATTTCACTTAGCGTACTACCTTGAAGGAGAGACTTCAGATGGCACATAGATGAACATTTTTTTATTTTGCAGCTTTTCATCTTGATGAGTGGTAGGAAATAATCTAAATTAACATACACAGGTGATAATAGATACAAATAAATGCATTTAAGTCGAAAACAAATTGACCAAAAGATGAGTGTGAAGTAAATAATAAACTGTATTAAGTAAACAATAAATGGGGACAGAGGGATAGCAAGAAAAACTCACGATCGCAGCATGTGGGTGGTTGGGAAGCCCTGGCTGGAGTGTGAAGTGTGTTAGAAGAGTAGGAAAGGAGTGCTGGGTGTAGACTGATGGGCCACCAATGTCAGGCTGAGTTGCTAAGCAGTGGGGAGCCACTCACGGTGGCTGAGCAGTAGAGGGCGACAGAGGCCACTGTGGTGGCCAATGGGAGCCGCGTGCGGTGTCAGGGAGCCTGGGGAAGAGGCAGAAGAGGCGGGAGTTATCTACAGAGGTTCGTGCCCCAGCTCTACCATTCCCTGGCAGTAGAGCCTTGGGCACAGTCCCTTAGCCTATAAAATGGGAATAAAAATGCCCAATCAATAGGCTTGTCTGGAAGATGAGGCTTGACATTGAAGGCTTGCTCAGTCAGAAGAAACTTTCGTTATAATTGTTACTAGAGTCCCAGTGCACAAAATTGATGCCCGTGGGGGGGTGTCTCTCAGCCTAGCCTGCGCCCTCTCACAATCCAGGACCCCTCTGGTAGGGTCCCTAGGCCTGGCCAGCGATCAGGGCCTATAAGGGCTTTCTTTCCCCCAGCTGCTGGCAGCTGGCCCCATCCCCGCCGCTGCCACTGTTTGCCACCTGTGTGGTGCTGCCCTTCCGCTCCCCTGCCATCGGTCACCTCCGTCTTTGGGCTACAGGCATGGGGATCACTTGGCTGGCCTGGGCCTCCCTCTGCAGGGCAATCGCTGGCCAGCCCCACACACCTGCCACAGTGTCGCTAGCCGGTGTGACCTAGGCCTTCCTCTGTGGGGCAATTGATCGTGGGGCCCCCAGATTGATTGCCCCACAGAGTAGGGGCTCCGTGGTCAATTGCCACAGAGAGGGGCCTGTGTCTTTCTCTACAGGGCGATCATGGAGCCTGTTCCTCCTCCCTCACCTCCCAGTCCCCATCAGTCACTCCCCTATCTTGTGGCCTGGGCCACCCTCTTTGGGGTGATAGATCATGGAGCCCCCCCGCCCCCATGGACCACCCTCTGAGGGTTGACCATGGGGTGATGGCAGGGCCTTCCCCCCCCAACTGCCTTCGCTGGCCTGGTGCCAGTGTGTGTCATAGTGCGGTCGTCTGGACGGTCGTTCTGCTATTTGGTCGTTTGGTCAATTTGCATATTACACTTTTATTATAGATGATCATATGATACTGCTTTTTTAGCCTGCTGATGTGATGGAAGATAATCATTGGTTTTCTAATGTTGAGCCAGCCTTGTATACCTAGGATAAGTCACACTTGGCCATGGTATATAATTCTTTTTATCCATAGTTGGATTTGTTTTGCCTGTATGTTGATTAGGACTTTTGCATCTATGTTAATGAGATAGATTGGTCTGTAGTTTTTTATAGTTATGAAATGTTACCTCCTCTTCTATTTACTGGGAGAGATTATAGAGCATTGACATCATTTCTTCCTTAAATGTTTGGTGGAATTCATCAGAGAACTCCTTTGGGTGTAGAGATACTTTCTGTTGTGAAAAGTTACTGTTATTGATTCCATTTCCTTAATATTTATATGCTGAATAGAAGCCTGGTGCATGAATTCCTGCACAGATGGGGTCCCTCTGCCTGGCTGGCAATTGTAGCTGATTGGGGCCATCTCTCCCAGTCCCCATGGGAGATTGGCT